TTGTCTTCAAATATGCAAAGCTGTCAATCACTTAATCAATATCCATAGCTTGAGTCTTGAAAAATGTCCGCTCAATTGAAGCAACAGTCGCCATAGATCGTAAGAAACAATTGAATGCTTAGCGAGAGTGTCGGAAGAGATTCTAGGAAGTCCCATTCAGTCTATGAATTTCAAAACATAAAAAAAACTGACCAGTCCATGACTTTGTAAAATTCAATATCATCTGCTTTTAGATGTCTTCTAGGCCTTGGCAATTACTTTTAAAAGCTCATCTGATAACTCAACATAGAAAGAGGTTAATTTTGAAACGGGCACCAATAACTGTTCTTCACTTGCTGATAGTAGACTCTTGGGTTGAACAGCCTCAAACATATCGCTTACTTCGCTGATGATCTGATCTGGAGTTCAATACACTACTGTTTTATTCTCGCAGACGGAGTCCAGCATTTAATAATTGTTCTCCTGTAATTCTCTTCTTAAACCTTAATCTTCTCTCTACTGAAATTTTGGTCTTATTTTAAAAGTGCCTTTTCTTTCAATAGCATATTCCAAGTGACAGCGCTTCTCGTGCAGAAACAATCTTAAGGCCTCTAGGTTTGTCACCACTTTGTCAAGAGAGAAGCCTTTAGCCTGCATTAAACTGCTGTGTCAGATTATAGGAAATGAGTAAAACAAAGTAAGTTCAAACCTGAAAAAAGGAACGAAACAAAACAACGAACGTGTCGACCGGAAGCCTTCGCCAGCGAACAAACAATAGACATTACTTTGTTTCACTCATTTCCTATTTTGCTCACCTGATTGCAGTCTCTCCCCTTATTAACCCGTGTAAGATTATCTTCCTGAAGTAGACCAGCCCAAATGTAGCCTACCAGATTAACGTGAAAACATAGACAACATGTAAAAGACCTTGTGCTGTACCTCTTTGTGACGTAATTTTGAAGAGGATCATATAGAGCTTCAATCACCGCCATCAATTCATCAAAATTAACTTCCACTGTTTTAACAGTAACATGTTGAGCATTCCAACGTGCTTTTTACAGTCTTTTCACCAAAATTCCAGTGTTTTCAATTGAAACATCCCATCAATGAGGGGACGCAGCAAAGAAGAAAACTATTCTCTCAAGAGTAGCAAAAACATTAATACATGAAGCTTGTCGTTAAACGTGTGTCGATTTCCAAATTTACCGAACACTTCAGTCGGCGTTGAATCATGGTCAAAACGGTGGCTTCATGACCTTCTTCTTCTATATCTTAAGGGCCCACGATCAATTCATTGATCATTTTGGCTCCTATGCATGTTGTTGGGATTTGGAATGTTTCTGTTCCTGGTGTTGATGAGGAAATTTCACGGATTTCCAGTGCAACTTTGTGAGGGAATCATGCACTAGGGGTTTGAAGGCTTGATGCAATAGACACCAACCTAATAATGGGGTCACCTCATTTTTCAATTATTATCCTTGAAACTTGAATAAAGCCCGCAATTTGGATAGGTTTCATGTGTGGAAAATTTACGTGTAATCGGTTAACCTTTTATGATATTTGGTGAGACCAAGCAGTGTGTGCTGTGTAAATAGGCCATTTTTCACTTTGGTGTCACCCCTTGAGATGGTGTCACCCAGTGCGGTCTGCACCCCTCTAGTTACGCCACTGCCCGGAGGTATGCCTGAAAAAACCCCTGAAGTTAAGGAGACGTTCTTTTATTATTCGTTCTTAAAAAATTGAGTATTCTGCTACCTGTAGCTGCACAGCTTCCTAACAATTCATAAAAGCGATATAGAAATAGGTGCTGGGTGGCCGAGTGGCTTAAACTGAGTCAATCTCAAGTTCGTGGTCTGCCCACCAAACAGCACCCCAGGTGGATGGAACTGTTCCCATTGGATGGCAACTCATTATAGAGAAGGAAACTCTTAATTAAAACCCGGAGATGGAGTCCCGTAGGCGGATAACATTGACTTTACTACCGAGTATGGAGGACTGGCATGTCTTTAGACTGAGTAGGGACCACTGCCTTGTCTTTAGACCGAGTATGGACCACTGCCAGGTCTTTAGACCGAGTATGGACCACTGCCATGTCTTTAGACCGAGTAGGAACCACCGCCATGTCTTTAGACCGAGTAGGGACCATCTGCCTTGTCTTTAGACCGAGTATGGACAACTGCCATGTCTTTGGACCGAGTAGGAACCACCGCTATGTCTTTAGACCGAGTAGGGACCACTGCCTTGCCTTTAGACCGAGTAGGGACCATCTGCCTTGTCTTTAGACCGAGTAGGGACCACTGCCATGTCTTTAGACCGAGTAGGGACCATCTGCCTTGTCTTTAGACCGAGTATGGACCACTGCCATGTCTTTAGACCAAGTAGGGACCACTGCCATGTCTTTAGACCGAGTAGGGACCACTGCCTTGTCTTTAGACCGAGTAGGGACCATTTGCCTTGTCTTTAGACCGAGTATGGACCACTGCCATGTCTTTAGACCAAGAAGGGACCACTGCCATGTCTTTAGACCGAGTATGGACCACTGCCATGTCTTTAGACCGAGTATGGACCACTGCCATGTCTTTAGACCGAGTATGGACCACTGCCATGTCTTTAGACCGAGTATGGACCACTGCCATGTCTTTAGACCGAGTATGGACAACTGCCATGTCTTTAGACCGAGTAGGGACCACTGCCTTGTCTTTAGACCGAGTAGGGACCACTGCCATGTCTTTAGACGAGTAGGGACTGCCATGTCTTTAGACCAAGTAGGGACCATTGCCATGTCTCTAGACTGAGTATGGATCACTGCCATGTCTTTAGACTGAGTAGGAACCAATGACATGTCTTTAGACCGAGTTTGGACCATTGCCGTGTCTTTAGACCGAGTATGGACCACTGCCATGTCTTTAGACCGAGTATGGACAACTGCCATGTCTTTAGACCGAGTAGGGACCACTGCCTTGTCTTTAGACCAAGTAGGGACCACTGCCATGTCTTTAGACGAGTAGGGACTGCCATGTCTTTTGACCGTGTAGGGACCACTGCCGTGTCTCTAGACCGAGTATGGACCACTGCCATGTCTTTAGACCGAGTAGGAACCAATGACATGTCTTGAGGCCGAGTATGGACCACTGCCATGTTTTTGGACCGAATAGGGACCACTGCCATGTATTCAGGCCGAGTGGTTGACATCGTTATGTCTTTAGACCGGGTAGTGGAGACTGTAATGTCAATAGACTTCAGCTGACTGGCGGACATTGAACAAGTCAGAAGTCAACATGTGAAGGCTCATTTTGTGTTTATTTCAAAACCACAACAGCATTGTATTAGAAGCTACCATACTATACTGTCACGCCACAATATTCAGTCTAGCATTTGAAAAATAAAAATAAAATATATATTGATTATATTGATGGTTAATCCACAAGAAAATATGCAGAGTATCAAACAGAAGATCTACAGCTGTCATTTTTTTTTTCTTTTAAGGAGAAAATTTCGTATTCCACAAGGAGTGAAGATAACCGTGACGTAAATGACGAGCACTTCTTTACAAGGATGCCATGGCTGAGGTCTCGTTAGGTCTCAACAACATTGAGCATTTTTATTTCATTCAACTCGTTATATATATATATAATTAGACCGAGTAGGGACCCCTGCCATGTCTTTAGACCGGGTATGGACCACTGCCATGTCTTTAGACCGAGTATGGACCACTGCCATGTCTTTAGACCGAGTATGGACCACTGCCATGTCTTTAGACCGAGTATGGACCACTGCCATGTCATTAGACCGAGTAGGGACCATTTGCCTTGTCTTTAGACCGAGTATGGACCACTGCCATGTCTTTAGACCAAGAAGGGACCACTGCCATGTCTTTAGACCGAGTAGGGACCACTGTCATGTCTTTAGACCGAGTATGGACCACTGCCATGTCTTTAGACCGAGTGGGGACCACTGCCATGTCTTTAGACCGAGTAGGGACCATTGCCATGTCTTTAGACCGAGTATGGACCACTGCCATGTCTTTAGACCGAGTAGGGACCATCTGCCTTGTCTTTAGACCGAGTAGGGACCACTGCCATGTCTTTAGACCGAGTAGGGACCACTGCCATGTCTTTAGACCGAGTAGGGACCATCTGCCTTGTCTTTAGACCGAGTATGGACCACCGCCATGTCTTTAGACCGAGTATGGACCACTGCCATGTCTTTAGACCGAGTATGGACCACTGCCATGTCTTTAGACCGAGTATGGACCACTGCCATGTCTTTAGACCGAGTATGGAC